ATGCCTTTTTATCCATGAAAGATGGACAATTTCACTTTTTATATTGCGTGTGGATGCTGGTGGTTGATCTATTGTGCAAAGGATGGTTCTCAACTTTAATAAGTTTTTGGAAAGTCATCTAATGGAGAAAAAGACTTTAATATGTTGAAGACTACTTTTTTTTTTTTGGGTGAATTATGTCGAAGGCTATTTTTCAGGAAGATTGATGATTTTTAACTTTTTTTAATTAACGAAAAAGACTTTAAAATTTTTTATTTATAACAAATTAAAAATATCACTTCCCTTTTAAAAATGACTATTTCTTTTTTGAAAATTACTATTTTAGTTGCATTTAATGATAAACAAATTTTTTCAGAAAAAGCAAAAGAAACAAAGCATTTGAGTAACGACCCATGATTGCAGCAATGAAGAATGAAGCTATATTGGAAAAGTAGCTAATTATTCTGGGCAGAAAAATTGTTCAGGGTATAGGGGAAAAACAAAATCTTTAAATTTATACTTTTAAAACAATATTGTTACGAAATTATTTTTGTTGTTTTAAAAGTCACCTAAGCTACGAAAGCATGCAAAAGAAACTAGAAGAAGTTCCATTTCAAAAGGTTGCTAAGAATTTAAATTTTTATTTAATTATTTTTTATTTGATGTACAATAGAAATTATTAATACTTCTATTGAAATTTTTAATTTTATGAGCTAGAAAATTAGCATCTCATATATTGGAGTCATTTAAGAATTTTGAAGTAGTATTATGTGTTTTCTATTATTCCCTTATTTAATTCATCCAATTCAAAACAACATAATTAATTTTTACATGAATACTATGCATGAATGCCTGCCTACAAAAGTTTTTAATATATTTAAAATTTTTGGGTCAAAAAATACATTTAAAACATTAATGATTATTTTTTAATAGTGTATTGTCAATCAAAGTTAAAATGCTAATTTTTTTCTTAGCCAAAATGAATAGAAATGCTAATTATTCCCTCGATTAATTGACGACTTATAAATAATAATTCTCAAGACAACTTCTACGAAAAGTTGTATATATATATATATATAAATGATATGTTAAATTTTTATTTATTGTTGTATTGTTGCAAATATAAGAAGAAAAGTTGTGATTATTTAAATAAAACTTATGAATCATTTATTTTCAATAAAGGTAATTTAATAATTTGTATAAATTCATTAATAATAGAAAAATTTTTAGAGATTGTAAAGAAATTATAGCATTTCGAGAGATCAAATTATTATTTATATATTTTAGAGGGATTTTATTATCATTTTCTAATTGCATTGGACAACAGTGCTTGTTTGCAGTACTCAATGAAATAGATTGGCAAAGGAATGGAAAAACAGAATTACCAACCCCTATAATTTCATTGAATTTAACTTTTAATTTTTATAATTTATTTTTTACTTTTGTAAGTCCTTATAATTTTAAAATGATTGTGTGATGTTTATTTTTCAGGGCACTATATTGTTTTAGTTTTTTCAGTAATAGGATTAAAATTATTAAAAAAATTATAAGGATTAAAAATAAAATTAGACGAAACTATAAGAACAAAAGATTATACTTTACCTAAAAGAATGCTGTCAAAAGATTGAAATTTCTAGTTCTTGAGAGGAATCTGCAACAGCAAGTGATTGTTGAAGCCAATTTTCCACAATCCGTTTCAAACACAATCGAAGAGTTATCATGGGAAACCACTGTGGTCGCCATCTTTCTCGATTTCCAACAAATGAATTTGTTGCTTTATTGTTCTATCAGAGACTGACCATTTCTCTTTTTCTTAATTAATTGCGTGTGAACTATGCTGGTCAATCTAATGTCTAAAGGAAGCTTACCAAATCTCTCACACCACCATTTGATTTATCATAATAAATAAATAAATAAATAAAGCAAAGAAAGAAACTTTATCAAGTCTTTTGAAAGTCATCTAGTGGATACCAAAGACTTTCAATCAGAATCGGTGTCACCACACATCTTTCACAATGCTTTATTGCATTAATTCAGGTAAAGTGAAAATCAAACAACGGACCTTTAATATCTTTTTCTTAATTGCGTGTGGACCATGCTGATGGATCTGCTAAAGGAAGGTTCTTACTAAATTTCTTACTCCGTCATTTAATTTATCATAACTTGTTAAAGACTTGAAAATATATGTAATATTCTAAGGAATCATATAAAATAGAAAGTGACACATCGATATATTCATTTTAAGAAGAAAATATATATAATGTTTTTTAAAAAAATTATCTGTTTTTTCATACTCAAAATAATCTTAACTGATATCATATACAAATTAAATAACAAAAGGGATGATGAAATTTTTAATCCCTTAAATTTGTATTAGTTATGATTTTGGTCTGGGAAATTTAATCTTCATTCATATATCAAGTCCCTAAAATTTCAAAACCATATACACTTCTACTGTAATTGGAAAAATAAACCATATACACTTATTCTTAATTTTTGATTTATAGGAAGATAACTTATAAGGACTAATTGTGTATATGATTATGAAACTTTACGGATTTGATTGATAAAAAATAAATTTCAAAGATCAAATTAATAATCGAAATAAATTTAAAAAATTAAAAGTTTCATTATCCCTAACATAAAATAAATAAATATATATTTGTATTCATACAAATAATTTCCCTTCTTGTTGTGCTAAATTAAAAGTTTGTATTTTGACCTTTTTATTGTTAATGAAATGTTTTCTTTATTTAAAAAAATGTATTCAATCATTGTTATTTAGAGATGAATATTCAATAAGTAACCAAAATTTTTTAATAAACTAATAAATCATGTATTCTATTTCTATTTAAACACTGGAGGAGAAATGCGTGTGTTTATATAATGTATTTGTATATTTATGTTTGTATAAAACTGTGGAAACATTTGGATTGAGGATTGTACGCCATTGTATCTATAAAAGATGGATAAATTTACTTTTCAAAATAATTGCGTATGGACGGTAATTTTAATTAATATTCTTCATAAACAATAACTGAATAAGTAAAAATATTGTTATACAAATAATTATAGACCTAAGATCTTCATATTAGTTATAATTTTTTATTTTCACCTGTAAATATATATAGGAAAACTATTTTGACTTGCTTATGACAAATTTTCCAATATTTAGTGTTACTGGTAAGAACAATCGTCATTTTAAACAAAATATTTGGGGGTATGAATTCCAACATTTTTGCATATATATTGCAATTTATAGTTGAAAGGGATCTATCTTCTATCATAAATATTTAGAGAAGATGTAATTTTCATGTTGGTGGAATATAGGATAACCTGTAGTCTTTTAATTTTATACAAAGTTTTATAAAGTGTCGTTTTAATTCTTTAAACTTAACACAGTTTGTTTCATCAACAAAAAATTCATACATTCTACTTGAAAATTTTGATAAAACATTCTAAAGTATAAATATACTGGGTTAATTTTTTAAAATAAACATAATTGGCACAAAAAATAACAGTATTGGGGGTAAATGACTGAAAAGATATTTTATTAAATTAAGAAACTAATTTGAAACCATCTATAAAATTAAAGGATCAAAACATTCTTCAACCTATTTTATAAAATTAAAGGACTAAATTAATTAAAATCTTGTGTAAAGTTAGGAGGTTAAAGATACATTGTTACCTTCGATTTTGAATTTTTAATATTTTCTCAAAAAATGTAGCAATCCATTGAATTCACATTGTTGAACCTACTTGAAGAATGGGATTCACGACATTTGGCAAAAGGAAACTTCACACGTAATTTCTCATCTCTTCTTTCAGTTTTCAAATTGATACATTCAATTGGCTTCATCATTTCGTAGTGTTAAAATGCCACTTCTTTTTCTTGGCCAAAATGAATAGAAAAGCTAAGTTATATCGCCGAAAATAAATGCATAGACTTGCGCAAAATAATATTTTTACGACACAATTAGGGTGTCAGTTTTGAAATGAACAATGATAATAACAATAAATTTAATAGATTTTCATACATAGGAGAGAAGCAAGATATCATGGTGTCTATTGCTACAATGCAATAGACGCGATTATAGATAGCTAAAGCGGGACCCAAAAAAAAAAAATGAAGAAGGATCACATATGGTGTTTTATTGACTTGACACCATAATTTTTTCTCACCATTATATGTGATGGCCTTGGAATTTCCTCTTCCTTGAAACCAATGCTATGACTTTATAAGAAGGTAAATTTTCATGATCATTTCTTTATTTACAAAATGTAGGACATTTTTATATTTTAAAGGTGAAATTAAAGTAAGACATTTTTAGTATTTTAAGGTGTAATTAATGTGTTCTTTTTTTCAAAAGTGCTCTAATAGATAAATTACTTTATATTTATTTTAAAGTGAAAAACTGTATTAAATAGAGGTAAATATACAAAAATAATGTTAGTTTAAAGACAGCTAACTATTTTATAGGGGATATAAGTTGATTAATATAATAACTCAAATGAAAATTATTATCTGTTTCATATTATCTTTTAAAAAGGTTTTTCTATTTTTATTTTTCAGTTCTCACTGTTATTTTTTTCTCATGGTTTATATTGCTATGTTAGTAGTATTTCTTCTCTCTCATAGATCTTTTCTCTGACCACACACTTTGTTTCTTCACTTTTTCCCCTTTAATTAAGGAAATAAAAGCAGTGTAAACAGTTTTGGATGATATTTCAAGTCCAATTCCTTCACATTTCCAAAAAAAATCCATCTTTTTTTTTTTAATTATGGCAGCGGGCTTCACGATTTCATGTCCAATTCCTTCATATTTCCACAACTAATGTTCTAAAATTTACTGATGAATTTAAAACGCAAACAGTATTCCACAGCACTTTTTATCATCTTTTATCTATGATTTTATTTAATCACTATAATTTAGATAACTTTATCATTTATAATACAATCATATGAAAAAAACAACGGGACAAAAAAAATGCTAGAATACTCATGTTGGCTTCAAATTAACTACTCTCAAATTCACAATGGAAGTTGTATATTATTCATAATTCCATACACCAACTACATGAAACAAGAGATAACCATGAACAACAACATAGATCATCCTTGGCAAGACAATCAATAACATTGGACCATCAAGAATAAAAGGCTTGTGGGAACACACAATGTGGACCTTACACGTAACTGACAAAAGAAGTTGTCAATGAACAACCGGGTTCATGCACTTGTTCTTGAATCTTGCTTTCCTGATATGAATTTCCACATACATGAAGTCAACAAAGTTATCCACATGTCTGAAGCAAGCATGTCTCCAGTTTTTGTTGAGCAATAAAAATCCAATAACTACCCAGAATCCTGTGATGAATCCCAATGCTATCACAAAGTAAAATAACACCTTTTCTTTTCCTTTATCATCATCCTCTTCATGAAAGCTAAGGTGGGTCATCCCAATCTCAGGACATGCTTTTTGAAGAAGATCTCCGCAAAGATATGGATTGCCAATATAAGAAGATGGACCAAAGGTAGAGAATTCAGCCCCTTTAGGAATAGGTCCTGAAAAATTATTGTTTGATAAACTTAAAAAACTCAATGAAGTCATGGAGGACATGTTGCTGGGAATAGGACCAAAAAGTTGGTTGCTTGATAGATCAATGGATTCCAATGACTTCATGTTTGCTATCTTGCTTGGAATCTTTCCTGAAAGTTTATTGTGTGACAAGTTCAAGCCAATCAAATCCGAGAGACAAGTTAAACCTTCTGGAATTGAACCGTTCAATTGTTATTTGAAAAATCAATGTTTGTCAAATACTGCAAATTTGAAGTGTATTTTTGTTGCAATCCTTTCAAAACTTGATCAACACCCTCTTCAATTGTTATCATGTTAGTTTCATCAAATATAAAAAAATCACCATATAATAGGTTGAAAAGTTTGGTTCCATTAAGATTGCAAATGCAAGGTGGGATTGAACCTAACAAATTAGAACTAGAAAGATCCAAGATTCCCAATTCTTGGAGCTTGCAAAGGGAAGGCGGTATATCACCACATAACAAATTTTGTGACATCCTTACAATAATAAGTTGTGGTAATCCCCCATTGCCTATCCAAGAAGGTATCATTCCAGTAAATTGGTTCTCACCAAGGTCCAAAACTTGTAATGTTGAATGTCTTTGTAAGATTTGTTGAAGATCCCCATGTAAATTATTGTTGCTCAAAATTAACCACGTCATTCGAGATAGATTCCACAATGTGCTTGGAATAGTGCCTGATAGCTTATTAGATGAAAGATTTATTACATAAATTCGACTAGTGTTGCTCCAACAATTGAGAATTTCACCAAATAGTCTGTTATATGATAGTCCTAGAGTGAACAACTTCTCTAAATTGCACAAAGAGCTTGGCATTGAACCTTCTATAAGATTGTACCTTAGATCTAACACTCTTAACTTCATATTTTGATCCCCAATGTTTTTCGGCATTGTTCCCCTGATACAGTTATTGGATAAATCCAAGAACAATAGTCTCTCTTGTTTTTGAAGCCATTGTGGAAACTCTGTGCCTATATTGCAAGATGCCATTCCTAAATATGCTAAGGATTGAAATGGAGGTGTCCAATTTGAATCAAGCTTTACAAAAAGTTTGTTTAATCCTACTTGTAAATATTGTATGATTAGGAGCTTTTCAAGGTGATTCTTGGAAAAGATACCTTCTAAAAGGTTATGTGAAAGATCTAATTTAACTAAATTAGACAGTTTTCCAAGATTAACTGGAATAGGCCCGCAGAGAAAATTATTTGAAAGATCAAGAGTCTTTAAATTCTCTAACTCTCCAACCCAACTTGGCATTGGCCCATAAAGGAGATTATTTGAAAGATAAAGAGTTTTCAAGTTCTTTAGCTGGCCTAACCAGCTTGGCAAACTCTCATTAATACCATTGGAAGATAAGAATAATTCTTCAAAATTGTCAATTGAGCATTGAGATAAATTTCCACTGCCAAAACTTAGTAAAGACACTAATGATTCATATTTGCCACCGGACAAGTCTAAGGATTGGAGGGAACATATGTTGTTCAAGATAGAGGAGATGGAGATTTTATTCTCATTGAAAGAATTCCAAGAAAGATCAAGATGGATCAGAGAGTGAAAATTACCCAACCAATGTGGAATTGAAGAAATTGAGTTCTTTGAAAGGTCCAACTCCCTTAAGGAGGTCATATTTTGAAGAGTATCAGGAATTGAACCATGAAGATAATTGTTCGAAAGATCCAAGAGCTCAATATTAGGAAGAAATGTAGAATTCACAGAGGCATGTGTGACATGGACATTGGCGATATGACAATTACTAAACTCTGCCTGTAACAGAGAAGGAAGCATGGAAAGTACCTGAAACAAATTGTGTGCCTTCTTAAGGGACACTTTAGTCATTGCTATGTGTCTCAATGATGAGAGTTTTGAAACCCAAGCCATGTCATCAGCATATAAATCTGCCCATTGATGTGAAAGATCAGCCCCTTGATGAGAAAGATCAAGAACTTGAAGGTTTGAAAGGTTGCCAACATGATGGGGAATCATGCCACTAATGAAAGAATAAGAGAGGTTGAGGTATCTCAACTGCTTCATGGAACCAAGGAACTCTGGTATATGACTTGAATGAAAATAGTTTCCACTCAAGTCCAAGTAATTCAAATGTTCCAACTCCAACAATGAAGGGTCCACAGCTTTCGCTACTAATGCATAGTTGCAGAAAGCAAAAGAGCATGGTCGCCCAAGATCAAGCTTGATAACATGTCCTGAAATAAAATCACAACCAACACCTTTCCAGTGACAGCAATTAAGTCCCTCCCAAGAACCAAGTGGTCCATCAGAGGTGTTGAAGAAACTTGATCTAAATTTCAAAAGAGCTTGTCGCTCTCGTTCATGGCAAGGAGGGGTAGACTTTGTGGAGAGACAGAGTTGTGAGGAATGAAAGAACAAGAAAAGCAGAAGAAACACATCATTTGTGTAAGGACTCATGATTGCAGCAATGAATAATGATCAAGCTATATTTGAAAACAAGGTGTCATGATTGAAAGAATGCTATTGGTTGGATATTTATAGAGAAAAAGTAGTTAATTACGCAGGGGCAGTAAAATAGTCAAGGTATACGGGGAAAACAAAACCGTTATATGTATTCTTTTGAAAAATATTTTTATAAAAGTAATTTATTGTTTTAAAAGTCACCTAAGCTTTAAAGAAATACAAAAGAAATTAGAAGTTCGATCTCAAAAATTCAAATTTAAAAGTGACCTAGACTTTAGGAGCACTTTCACACTTGTAAGAGAGTTGTACTATATGTTTTTTTTTTCCTCAATTATGCCTCTACCGTAAATTTGAACCATTTATATCAAATTTTAGCAATACAAATGCATTTGTATTTTTAAAACTATTAAATCTAAATTATTAAGTTCTGATGTGCAATGTTCTTTCTACTCTGTTATAGTGGAAAGAAACCATCTCCTGGATCTACATACAATGTTCGATCAAAAACATTTCTGTGGGTAAAAAATAGGCCCTCTCATATGGGCATTTTTTTTATAACATTATTGTTTATGATTTTGTATTTAAGATTAATTAAAACAATACAATGAAGATTTTGATCACTTCATAAAACAATCTAATGAAAGTTAAAACCAAAAGCAATAAAAGTATAAGCTGATGGCTTCTTTTAGGAACAGCTAACTATATGGGGAGAAGATGCATCAATCCTCATATAACTTTCGCTATCGTTTTCGATTGTGGTCCAAACTAAAGAATTTAGCACACTGAAGAGCTTTCAAAAGAAAATTATCATCACTCCTCTGGAGAGAAATCTTCTGGCATTAATATTACAAAATAAACTATGACATAAATTGAAAGCTACTGGTTGACCGGTCACTATATCTTCAAGTTTCTACAAAGATGGATGACTTATTCTCAAAACCACTTGAATGCAAAGATTGGCAATTGATAAGTCTTTGGAAGTCATCTAATTGAGACAAGAGAATTTAATATGTTGGAAAACTTTTCAATGCATGTCTCCTAAAGTTTTCTTGCCTCCATTATACCAAATAAAAATGTTTTTAAAATATTTTTTCTTTTTATCTCAAAAGCGCTTGAATGTGAAATTTGTAGAGGAAAAGTAGCTAATTACCCAGGGAATAAAAATAGTTCAAAGTATTGGGGAAAAAGAATCAAAATCGTGAAATTTATTCTTTTGAAAAATATTTTTACACAAATATTTTGTTGTTTTAAAAGCCATCCGAAATACGAAAGCATACAAAAGAAATTAGAAGATCCACTTTAAAATATTTATTTCAAAATAAATTTTATTTAATTATTTTTTATTTGATATACAGAAGAAATTAGCTGTTCGAACTTGTGCATCATCGCTTTGAGGAATGAGATATATTTTTTATTTAATATAATCGATTTATATTTACCTCTTATATTTTACGAAAATCAAATAAAGTTAGTTAAAGCATTAACCCAAAAAAATTATTAATACTTCTATAGAAAATTTTAATTTTATAAACTATGGTATTATCATCTCATATGTGGGTGCCATTATAGAATTTTGAAGTAGCATTATGAACAATTGAAGAAAAAAACAGTAGCATTATGATTTTTTTTCTATTATAACCTTATTTAATCTTACAAATTTAAAAACAACATTTATTAAGTTTCACATGAATATTATGCACGAACACCTGTCTACTGAGGTATTTAATATATTTAAAACATTAATTATTATTTTTTAATTATATATCAGCAAATGTTAAAACTTCTATGACCAAGTCTTTGAATGGAGTTATGATCTATTGCGTAAGGATGGTTCTGAACTTTAATAAGTCTTTGCAAAGTCATCTAATGGAGACAAATGGCTTTAATATTTATGTCGAAGACTACTTTTCAATAGGATTAATGTTTTTTTTTTTTGGTTGACGAGAAAGACTTTAAAATTTGTAATTTATAACAAAATGAAAAAAATAATCATTTCTTTTTTATCTCTCCTTCCTTTCTGCAAATTATCATTTTAGTGGCATTTATAGATAAACAAATTTTCAGAAAAGAAATAATCATTTTCTATTCCGTTTTAATTAATAACCCAATCAAAGTAGTTGTTTTGCAATTGATAATAGTCACTAAGGGCAAATATGTCATTTCATCATAAATTAATATGCCAGACAAGTTCCTTGGGACTAAGTAATAATTATCACATTTTGAGGGTATTTAATTGTCATTATTTGCGTATTTCAGGGTATTTCTTTTTGTTATTTTTCCTAATTGTTATACATGAGAATTTTCATAAAAAATAGTAAAAATGTAAACATTGTATAAATTAAATTTTCTTTTTTCTTTTTTTGCCAAAAATATTAAATCAAATTTTGTAAAGTGATATTTTTTGGGAAACTTAACCATTATTTATTAAAACTTTTGACCTTCAAGGATTAACATATAGAATGGATCAAACTATATAGCTCGATTAAAACAAAATAAACCACGGGAACCTAATTTAAATTTGAAAGAAACTATAAGAACCTACAAATTAATTTTTCTCTTTTTAAAATTAAAATTATGTGGCATATAAAATGGGTAATACAAATTCTATAGTTTTAAATTTTTAATGTTTTCTAAATAAAATGTACCAATTCATGGACTTCAAAATATTGAACATGAAGACTGGGATTCTAATAATTTAACATGCATGACCTTTTTGGCTAAAGGAAACTTCACCTGTAATTTCTTATCGCTTCATTCAATTTTCAAATGTTCAAGTTGTAAAGTCATCCAATGAAGCCAAAAGATTTTAGTACATTGAAAACTTTTGATAAGCCGTGAAGCATTTTTTTTTAGCTGAATTATCACAATTTTATTTGATGAAAATTGTCTACTATTTTTTCATAAATATAGAAAATAATAAACAAAATATACAAATTCATTTTTAATGGCTTGGTCTTTGCCCTGGTTATTGATCGCCCTGTGCATCTGTATGTAACGAAATAAAGTGATTGAGAAAAAGCTAAGCAGCAAATTTGCCAAATATAACGAAACCATTGTTTCTAGAGTAAGCTTTTTTTTTTTTTTAACCATTTTGGTGCACTCGTACAAAGGTAAAATTTCAAGTTATACTATTTATTTCTTGTAAATAATACGATTTGCTATCCTTTTTATAATTTATGTTATTTAAATTAAAAATAATAAAGTCAACTCGTGTCTTGTTTTGGTTAAACGTTAATCAATATTTAATATTAAATATTTAAAAATAAAATTTAAAATAAAACTTATCATTCATCAGCATAAATACTATAATTTATTTATCACATTAATGAATCAAATACACAAGCGAGGCTAACAAAGTAAATATCTTAAAATAACAAAAAAAATTAAATAAAGCCTGATAACAGGGTACCGCACAAAGAAAACGTAATAAACAAGCCATATCGTCCAAATCACACAATAGCGCATCATCCGAATAAGGGACCGTGGAATATTATTATGTAAAGCCCATAATGCATTGAAAATTACATACTGTCAGTTAGTAAAGAATTTGATTCATAACTTATAAGACAATCAGTGTAAATATCACTATCAAAGTTGTTAAATTTGCGAGTTTAAATAAACTCATGATAGGAATGTAAACTCATAAGAGTTTACCTCTATTAACAAATAGCCTTTAAAATATGATTGTAAGTTAATTTAAATATATTAAAAATATAAATTATTAAAATTAAACCCATCTATGGTGATAAATTATCATATACAAGATATAAAAATTTTGAAATAAGGGAACTTATTTTCATATTTTTGTTTTCTTTTTATTAATATTAATTTTTGCATTTCAAGTTATTTTTTTCTTTAAATCAGGTTTTATAACTTTTATAAATTAAATTCTTCATAGTATCTACTTAACTTACTCAACTCAAAAAAAAAAAAAAATTGACGTGCTTAATAAGTTTAACCAAGTTTGCATTTAGTCTGAGTTTATAAATTAATTGACACAATTTTGTAAGTTAAAAAGGTAAAAATGATAAACACATGAGTTTAACTGAGTTTGTATCTAATCTGAGTTTATAAGTAAGTTAACACGATTTTGTAAGTTAAAAACGTAAAAACGTTAAATTTGTAGAGTCAACTCGAGAGTATGACAACTGTGATCACTATCAATATAGGGATCTTGTTGATAAGCAATTTGTAAATACTACTGTAAGCGCTCTTTAAGCTTGAAAATATACCATAATACTTCTAACAACAAACTTAATATTCTTTAAAAGATATGCAAATTTGTTAACTTGATAGAGTTGGATGTGATGTAAAGATTGATTCCAACAATCTAATGCGATCCGTTGCCCCCTAATTTTTCATTCCTTAATTCAATTTTTAAATAGCTACGCTAAAGTATGCGAAATCTATTGGTGGATCAAAGTGAATTCAATTTAATTGCAAAATTTTAATTAATATTCTTCATAAACAATAACTGAATAAGTAAAAATATTTTTACACTCATAATTATATACATAAGATCTTCATATTAGTTATAATTTTTGAAATAATGTTTTTTATTTGTACCTATAATTATTTATAAGAAAACTAATTTGAGTTGCTTATGACAAACATTCCCAATATTTAGCGTAAAGTAGTGAGAACTCTCATCATTTAAAGCAAATATTTGGGAGTATGAATTCCAATATTTTTACATATTGCAATTTAGTTGGAAAGGATCTATCTTCTACCATAAGTATTAAGAGAAGATTTAATTTTGATGTTGGTGGAATATACTTTTACAAAAGATATTTTATAAAATTAAAGCACTCAATTAATTAAAATTTGTGTGAAGCTAGAAGGACTAAGATGCATTGATACCTTTGATTTTAAATTTTTAATGTTTTCTTAAAATTGTACCAGTCCATTGAATTCACATTGTTGAACTTACTTGAAGAATGGGATTCATGACATTTGGCTAATGGAAACTCCACACGTAATTTCTTATCTCTTCATTCAATTTTCAAATTGATACA